CCTTTTTGGGGGTCCCCAGAGTAAGGGTTATATTATATTGGTGTCTATATTGGAGTCCCCTTATTTTGGGAAACTAACATGTATGAGCTCTAGTCTAAACTCCTTACAGGGGCTTATATAGGGGATTATATAGGGGAGTATTAAGGGTTTATTCAGGAGGATACGAGGAGTTTAGACTACAGCTCAAGTTCGGGAATATATGAACTATTATAGGGGGTCAAACAGGAATGTATAGTGATCATTGGTGGGATCCACTCCCCCACTCGCCCTTGAGTGAGCACCGGTGAGATGTTGTTGCCCAGAAGTTGATTAGTGCATCCCGGAGAATTTATCATCTTCCCAGGTGGTTGGCCAGAGCAGAATGTCCCCTGAGCGAGTCGAAGCTGCGCGGCACTCACTTGTAGCAATGGAGCTGAGAGAACGATACCTTAATGCCGCCTGCGGAGGAAAATTCTTGCTGAGGAGCACGCACCCGGGAACAAGTATGAGGGATGAGAAGCTGAGCGATTGCCGGGCAAGATTTTACCCTAAACCCTAAACCCTCAACCCAAACCTTAAACCCTAAACCACGGCTGTGCTGCAGACTTCAGGCTCAAGAAACGGTAACGCGAACCAGAAACGGGCAATCGCAAGAATGAATATCCTGGCAAAGATTTCCAGCCATTACCAACAATGTTTACCGTTTATGCTTTACCTGGACCCCAAAAGTATGTAAATTAATGGCCTTTATGGCTATTATTACGGGCTTAGGGCTATTATTTTACATACTTTGGGGGTGTAGGTAGGGTTGACTGCCCAAGAAAAAGGGTGTGCGAGCTGTTTGAAGAAGCGGCGCTGGCAGATGATGACCGCAAACGACGAGCCAGGCCAGGTGAAGGTAAGTTTAGGAGTGCTAAAGGGGGAGTGTGGGTTATAGTATACTATAGTATATTATAGTATATTGAATGATAATATATCATAGCATATTATAGTATAGCATATTATAGTATAGTATATTATAGTATACTATACTATACGTAGTATATTTTAACATATTATAGTATAGTATAGTATACTATATAATAGTATGATATAGCATATTATACTATAATAAAGTATAGTATAGTACAGTATAGTATAATATACTAGAGTATAGTATAGTATATTATAGTATAGTATAGTATAGTATACTATATTATGGCATATTATAGTATAGTATAGTACAGTATAGTATATTCTGATTCTCCATTACCCCCGTGTTAGATTGTGTGGAGGAACATAGGTACAACGGCTGATGCTAATACTGGCACTTTTGTATGGCCCTTAGTACCTCAAACCTCCGGAATGGTGGTACTACAGTTCACTGAGTCGTGCAGGGTTTTTAGTACACAGAAGACGCCCACAAGGTGGCAATTCGGAATAGTAACCAACATGACTGGCGTTTCAAATCTGAAAGGGACCTATTCATCAGCCAGTTTCACACAAGGAATGAGACCCCATAGTACCCCTTGCATAACGACGGTTAAGCTTACTGGTTTAGTTCGGGTTTAGTGGTCCATCGTTCCCTACCCACCGACAGATCCTTCATGTATATGTACGCCCCCAGTTGCCATTTTATCTTCCATTTGCTTTCCATTTGATTCTCCATCATTGGTAATGATTTAGACTCCAAGCCCTAAACCTTAAACCTAAGTTGAAATCAGGGCTTAGGGAATCAGCGCTAGACCTGCAGAGTTCTTGAAAGAACACGATGTTTCCTTGGTATAATTTACCTACTGGTTCTTAGTAGGGAATATGGGAATATGCTACAGGGTTTAGGGTTCATAGTTTAGGCTCAGTAGGGAACACGGGAATATGTGATATAGGGTTTATGCCGACTCAGAACAAATAAGTTTAGGGTGTGTACCTATTGTTACCATTTTACTACTATGTAGTTACTATGTCATTACTATATTGTTACTACATTACTACTGTATTGCTGCTATATTGCTACTATGTTGTTACTATATTCCTAGTAGAATACTACTATGTTGTTACTATCTTACTACTATGTTGTTGCTATATTATTGCTATATTGTTACCATATTACTACTATATTGTTATTACATTACTACTGTATTGCTACTATATTGCTACCATATTACTACTATATTGTTACTACATTGCTGCTACATTGTAACTATATTACTACTATAGTGATTGAGTGGCCACATGTTTGATTGACTAGCTGGAGGCGACGTGATTCTTTTCATGGGTTCCTGTAATTAGGTCTAGAAGTAGAATATCCATTTGCGTAAATTAAGCTGCTTGAAACCTAGCAAGGAAGTACTCATGAATCTGCACCTACGCCCAGCAGTGTCCTGAGAGAGCGAGAGAGAGGACAGGTTCGGATATGGACGAGGCCAGTGTTGTTTCGGATGTTGCTATACAATTATATCAGTCAAAATAATATCAGCATAATTGCGCTAGTAATAGTAATAGTAAAATGCCAGTAATAATAATTAGATTGGGGTAATCTTGGGGTTGGATGTTTCTCAGTATGATGGGAAGCTAGACGCCAGGTTCGTCTGCCGCAGCTGTAATGATCTCAGAGTATCTCAATAATTATTTGTTCTGATTGAGTCATGGAAGAAGCTAGCCGCCTCTTGTCCACGATAGAGCTGGACGAATTCACGGTCACGGAGGTGCGAAATGGTTTCGAGACCATGGAGAAGAGGCGGGAATTTTTCAGAATCCTCTCTACATAGGCCGCAATAGGGACTCCCATGTTCTCTTTCCAGTCTCTTCCCCTAAACCGAAAATCTTAAGGGTCAGGGAGACTTCGTCAATAGGTTTATTCCCCCTATAACCCATACAGTAACCCCAGTATTAGCCCACTTACTAAGTCCCCCTAACCCTCCAAGTAGGGAGCCCTGAGCCCTAAACCCCAAACCCTTATCCCGAAATCCCCAGGTTAGGCGGTGCCAAGGAGGCGGGCGAGGCATTCTTAGGCAAGTTGAAGGTCGCAATGCCGAAGACGGCGCCCATGCTCAAAAGGTGGGAGTTCTTGGGGATCAGGGTTTAGAGGGATTATATATGTATAGGGTTATATAGGGGTGCGGGAAAAGAACATGGAAACAACAACAACAACAACAACAACAACCACCACTACTACTACTACTACTACTACTACTGCTACTACTACTGCTGCTGCTGCTACTACTACTACTACTACTACTACTCCTGCTGCTACTACTGCTGCTGCTGCTACTATTACTAGTACTAGTACCAGTAGTAGTACTAGTACTAGTACTAGTACTAGTACTAGTACTAGTACTAGTAGTAGTAGTAGTAGTAGTACTACGACTACTACTACTACTACTACTACTATGGCGGCGGCGGCGGCGGCGGCGGCGGCGGCGGCGACAGCGGCGACAACGGCAGCGGCGACGGCGACGACGACGGCGACGACGAACACGACCAAGACCACGCCCACGACCATGACGATGACGACGACGTCGACGACACTTAACGAGGCTTAGGGTTTTTCCTTCCATATGTCAATGTTTGTATGGTGTTCAGGGAATGGGTTGTAGGGATTCTTACAGGGATGATCGTGGTGTCTATGATTGCAAGAGTACCCAGGGTATAGCCCCCTTCAGTAGAGAGAACATGGAATTGCCCAAGATCAGCATACTAAGAGGGGAATTTGCTCCTGTTTTCAGAAACCCCCCAGGTCCAGCACGGTGTGGCATCTTATCATGGACCTGGTCGCTTGCCTGGACGATCCCGGCATGGTGCAAAAGCGCTTGGAGTACATCGCGCTGCGCCACATGGCGGCCGAAGTGACCACTCCAGATGTGGAAGTTTCTGGGTTGCTGTTAAGGAAATTGAATTAAGTTACCATAATGGGTATATATTATGGTACATAATAGGGTGTCCCCAACATAGTAACTTAAATGAAGTTCCTTGACAGCAACCCAGGTTTTCAAGACAATCATGATGGAGGTTTGCGCAGCAAAGCTGGGCGGGCTGATGACGCCGGAGTTCCAGTTTGGGGTAGCTCAGATTGTCACGGCCGTTGGCCTGTCCTTGGCCAACACGTTTGAACACTACGCAGCTCGCTTGAAGCTGCTCACGTCCTGCTGGGCAACCATCCAAGTCAATGAGGATGATGAGGCCAAGGAAGAGGAACAGGTGCAGCTGGACGTTGAGGACGGGGAGAACTCAGAGCACAAGCAGCTGAATCACTCCAACGAGCAGTCTGCTAAGGACTGGTTGGCAAACGAGGACAACGACCAGGGAGCTGACAAGGCGGAGAAGGACCGCCGCGACAAGTGGAATGTGAACTCCAAAATGAATATCCCAAAAACCTTCACAGAGATGGCGCGTTTCAACGCCTCTGTGATGGGTGTGGGAGATCGCGTGTGGTTCGCGGACATGCTCTACTCCATGGAGTCCTTGGTGCCGCACGTGGGCAACATCGACCGCATGCAGGAGGAGTGTGATGTCCTTTCGCTGACCCTGGCCCGGTACGACAAGGTGAGTTTCTCCAAAGTAGTCCTATAGAATGTCTGAATTTCTACAAAAAACCCAAACAGGAATCCCTAAATCTATCGAAGCCTGCTATGTTGTTACCTCTGATTCCCGGCTAACCCTAAACTCTGAGTTCCGGAGTATCTCGCAGGTCGTCCTCAATGACTTTAAGTCCGTGATGTTTGCATCTCTGCGGTCTCTGATGCCGTCAAAGTGGGACATGGAGTACGAGACTTTTTGGTGGTTAGCAGGGTCCCTACCTGCAACCCCAATTACCTACAGTTCTTTGGGTTGTATCTATTAAGGGAGATGGATCATATCGAGTCGTAGGTTTTAGGAGTTACATGTGGACCATCAACGCTTTGGTAGATTCCAATTACTGTACTCCCTACTAACACCTTAAACCCTAAACCCCAAACCCAAAACCCTAAACCGATTTACGCGTCAGACCACCAGTAAGGAAAATGCTTGGGGATGGTTCTGGGATTGCGTGGAGAAGAAGGTTGAAGCAAACAAGCAGTTCCCAAAGGCACCTCGGCAAGTCTCCACCCGGAGGGTTGTCGTTATGGTTTAGGGTTTAGGGGTTAGGGTTTAGGGTTTACAGGTTAGGGTTTAGGGTTTAGGGGTTTAGAGGGATAACCGCCCCAAAACAGGCCTTGCTTCAGCTCAGTGCATTACTTTACTTTGGAAACCTGACATGCCTTAAACGTATACTTAGCCCTACAGCTGTAAACCCTAGACCTTACAGCCTGAGCCCCAAACTCGGCGCACCCAAGACCTTAAAATCCCGCAAACCTGTCTATCCCTATAAAATCCCTGTATATCCCCATATGAACTATAGTCTAAACTCCTTGAAGGGGGATATATAGGGGAGTATTATAGGGCTTATTAAGGGAGATACTAGGAGTTTAGACTATAACTCATATAAGCCCTTACCCCAGGATTAAGGCCCATACTAATGACCCACACTTTGGACCCTTAGACATAGGCTCCCCCAACCCTGGTTTAGGGTTTAGGGTTTAGGGTCCTGCGCAGGGAGGCCAATACCCCTTCGATAAGGAATCTTCCTAGGGATCTTAGTATTGTTTAGGGTATACTCCTTAATTAAGCCGTATTGGGCTCTCTGGGTAGTCCAGGTTTATCATGGCAACTTGCGTTCCTTCTTGGCGCGCTTGGACGACGAGACGCTTGCCGACTTCAAGCTCGAGGCGGGGATCTAAGGTCCAAAACCCTAAACCCTAAACCCTAAACCCTAAACCCTAGGGTTTGGGGTCGAGGAGCCTTGAGGGTGCTATGGTGGTAATTTTAGGGTTTCAGAGTTTTAGGGGAGATCATATCAGGGATTAGGTAGGGAATATGTATACATATATATATATAATATGGAGTATATGTAGAGATTATGTATAGGGTTTAGGGTAGAGGGCTGGATTTCCAAAAATGTGGGTTCCGTTTTGGGCATCACGGGCAATTTAGGATGTAGAGGGCTCGGGAGTGGGGTTTTGGATTTTCAATATTTGGACGGTTTTTTCTTGGTACCTGTTTTGTATGTCTGGGTATTCCGGGGACACCCCGACCCTTGTGGAATCATGCAGGTGTTTGAGACCTTCTTTGCCAACTGTGAGCAGTCGCAGCTGTTCCTGAGGGCGGCGAACAAGCGGCTCATGTACATCATGGGCAGGCTCCTGGGTTGCTGTTAAGGAACTCAAGTCAAGTTACCATACTAGGGGATCCGCGTTAAGAGTTACATATACCCATTATGGTATTTCAAATAAGTTCCTGAACAGCAACCCAGGATCTTGACCATCATGGCAGATGTCTACACGAAGACCCACGATGCAGTCATTGCCATCTCAGCACTAGGCCTGTTGCATGCAGGCCATGGGATTCCCGAGGATTTGGTGCGACCCTTCGTGGCCGCCACTATGGACACAATCAAAAAGCACTGCCCTGACCAGATGCTGCACCAAGGGATCTGGTGGACCTTGGATTTGATCGGCCGCATCTTCATCCGCACCCTTTCTGAGGGCTCAACGCCCGTTATGCTGGCCATCAACCGGAACAGCGCCGGCGCGCTCCAGAAGGCAGTGGCTTCTTCCCCCCGGGGCGAGCGCGAGCTCTTGCTGCTAAGGGTGCAGGTTGGGACAGAGGCTATCTCGCCGCTGATGTGGTCCATCGAGAAGGGTGCCTTGGAGTCAGCAAAGGCCATGTTGGAAGATTTGCTGACCATGCGTGCAGACCGATCGCGGTACTACTATGGCATGGAGGCACTCTGGACACGGCACCCGGACATCATTACCTTGCTTTGCAACAAGGCACCCAGTCTGCTGACGTCAGTATTGGATGGTCTTGTGTGGAGGTCAAAGAGTGCCAAGAACGGCGTGAGGCGGGTGAACTACTACATCGGCTCGATGATGGTTGGCCTCGAAGGAGAGCTCACGAACTCTTTGCTTGATCTAATGCAGCACGGAGACCCGGCCGTCGTTTGCCATCCTTCCGCCGTTTTCATGGCCGACCTCCTCTGGGCAAAACTCTGCTGCCTGGCATGGGTGCTCCTGGGTTGCTGTTAAGGAACTTTGAATATTTAATATATAATCAATCAGGAAACCCTCTTCTGTACTATATACCCAGATCACAGTAACTTAATTTGAGTTCCTGGATGGCAACCCAGGCTCACAAAGCTCTGGTTCTGCGTGACGCTGATTGCCTTCGCCATCGGCCTGCAGAACGGGGTGCTGACCAATGAGACAAACCCCTCGGGCCCCGAGCGCTTCATGAAGATCGGCTGCCGTGCTTTCGTGTACATCTGCAGCATGGGACAGCTGCTCTACAAGCACTCCACACAGATTTGGAGGGCCCTCCGTCAGAGGCAAACGCAGCGCTTCGTCTGGCGTTGCCACTTGCCCAACTACTTGATGCAGTCCCGGCAGGAGTCCATGGAGCTGGTCTTGTTGATCCTGCTGTTTGTCATGCTGTGCATGGAGCCCGTCTTGCACTGCTTGCAGGTTAGTGACCTCTGGGCCAGGAGCTCAGGCCATGCTGCAGGACATGCCATGCCAGTGACCACCACAGGTGCCCTTCATTTCCCTACCTCCCGCTTTCCTTGCACTCCGAGGTCACGGACTGCTGCCAGAATGGCGACTGGTACTGCGGGCTTCGTGAGGCCTACAGCACCATTGCTTGCTTCCCCATGCTGCTCTACTTCCTCCTTGCATCGGAACTGGTGCACCTCAACGTGCAGCTCTCTGTGTTCAGCGTCGTGTGCGCCAGCCTCTGGTGGGAGTTCATCCTCTACATGGGCGTCCTCGGCTTTCTGACCGCAACCTTCGCCTCTGCTGTGGCATGCCTGCCCCAATTGGGTGATGACGATGCAATTCAACAAGAGGGCTTCTTCAATTGGCCCGCGGCCTTCGAGTCCATGCTGTCCATGGCCCTCAACGTCTATGGTGGCGACAACTACGAAGAGATCGCCAATGCCTCGGAGCCCTTGCTTAAATGGTTTATCATTGCCTTCGCTGCTTGCTGGCATGTCTACCTCATGAACCTCATGGTAGCCCAGCTCTGCCAGCGCTACAATGCAATCTTCTTCAACGCCCGCGGCCATGCCAGGCTGATCCGCGGGAAGCTTATTTATGAGACGGCCATGCCACTGATCTCCAAGAAGCGTTGGGCGGCCTTTGTGAAAACCCTCCACCTCGGCGATGCCTGCGAGCTGGACGAGGGCGACAACGGTCCACGTGGTGCCGTGCCGACCTTTGAGCCACCCTACGAGTACCAGAACAGCCCCCACATCGAGCTGGACCGTGTCTACCGCTATGGCGGCCTTGCGAACTCCTCCCTGCCCTGGCCACAGCTTGCCCTGGCTGTGGACGACAGCGCCATGGGGCGCTTGGAGAAAATGACCAGGACAAAATTCGAGGAGATGGACAGTCTGATGCTTGACATGGCTGTCAAGCTGGGTGTGCGCAATGCCAGCTTGTTGGGCTCCAGGGACGCCTCTGAGTTGCAGTCCAAGATGTCTCACGACAAGGCCAGCAGCAAGGGGGAGCCGGCGGAGCCTGAAGAAGTGACAGATGTGCTGGACATGATGGAGATGCTCCCCAATAATGACGAGGATGGCAAGGTCGTCGAGGAGGAACAGGCGGATTAAGATGACCAGAAACGCGACTGACAACAGTCGAATTCAATCTCAACTGTTCTAACTATTTGAAGCTGAACTCGTCACGACATGACGCAAGTCACCCAACTGCAACTGCAGTGTAGCATTCTGCTTTGGTAGCATTGTGCAATGTGGGCGGTGTTGTTGCCTTGACGGTGCAGTCATGGTTCGGGCGGGAAGCCGTCCCCGGACGTTTCAGCTCCACATGGGAATTAACTTCTGTGTACCAATTTTGGTCCTTCAAAGGTCCGCTCACCATGCCGTGGGCACAATCCCCCGGGCCTTTGTTGTGTCATTCTTGGGTGGGCATAGAGCCCCGCAGCTGCACATACTGTGTTTGCAATTGCCAAAGGAGCGCTCGCAAGCATGCCAGAATTCCTAATCAAGGAATGGGAAAGAATGGAAACGGCCACAGTATTGGGGGCATATCTAAAATGGACTGGTACGGTCTACTATGGTGATCATCTCGTCCATTCCATACGAACCACCAGAGCTGGGTCGAGCAGGCAGGCCATGGCAGATTATCAGATGAGCTACTGTCTACATTAGCCTTATTTAGGGATCCTTATTACTCCTAACAATGGAAAACCAACTGGAATCGAACGTGGAAAATGACATGGAAGCTGGGATTATGTATGGTTATGGGGATGTATATATATATATATGTATACATATCTATATATATATATATGTATATATATAAGAGTTACTGTCTATATCAGCCTTATTTATGGATCCTTAACGGTGGACATAGGGTTCCTTCTTGTAGTTTAGTGTGGTCCCTAGTACCGTCTCTAATAAGGAACCCATGTCTATTAAATTATGTAGGACATATTGACTGTAGCTCAAATGGATCGGAGTTCCTTCTGGAGGTTGCACCAAGTAAGGACCCTAGCATTGCCACTCAGAAATACCCAAGGGGTCCCTTTAAAGGGTTATAAGCAGTTGTAGAGATTATTTCGGGATATAGACTGGCATACAGCGTTCTACATGTAAGGTTTTGGGTTCAGGGTAGTGCCATGTTTGTTTCCCTTCGCTTTGAATGCGAGCCTGTTCCAGGCAGTGAAGTTTTCAGGCTTCATGGTCAGGGGAGACCATCGTTTTCCAATTCACTGATTCCTGCTTCCTCAGCGAGGTCGCTGAGATCCATCCATATGAGAACGGGACCGGGTTCCCAAGCAAAAGCAGCCACGATGCTTTGGCATCTGGCGAGGCCTGTCAGCTGTCACTGTTTTGCGGACCGGACACGCCCATACTATTGACTGTAAACGGGGGGCATCAGTAGAGGCACAGGATAGACTGTCTGCGGTCCGGTCGCAGAAGTGATTTAAAGGTGTGAAGATCCAGCTGAAACATGCTGTAATCGAAAGACGACGACGTGTTTGCTGGAAGGGCCATAGCTCGGAGAGTTAGTGCCCAAGTTTCGAGCAACCTTGCTGGCTAAAGTGAGCCATCTTAGCACGTCAATCATGATTCCACAGGACGCAGCAAGAGGTTGCCTGAGACCTATTCATCACTATTCATCAAGGTGCTGGATCAACCACAGATGCGCACCCGCCTAAGGCAGATGCGTGAGATGTGGTGAACAGATGAGAGCTGCACAGGGGAATCAGAAGATGGCTTCAGGCTTGAACACAGCCTTAACCAACATGTCAGCCGTCGAATTCGACGTTTTCATCTTTGAAGATGGCGTAGGCAGAGGCCCGGGGTTCATGTGCTAAGAGAAGCATATAGTTTACTTGTATGGGTGACCCAAGCGACATCCCAGCAAGAGTGTGACTGGACTGGCCTCTGAAATTCTCGGAAACCGATTCTGTGCAGCTGCACCACCGGGTCAAGTACATGGATTCTGCACCCTGCTTGTCATGTCTACATGTATACCCTAAACCACGGACAAAATCCTTAACCCTAGCGGATAGAGTGACATTCGGTCCAGCTGCACACCTCGCATCTTCGACTTCAGACACGGAACAAGGCGGCATCAAAGACCAGAAAAGGCTGCACACGCTTGTATGTCAGGCTATAGTCTGAACTCCTTAGCGGGAGTTATACCGGCAATATACAGGGGGGTATCGTAGGGGCTATGAAGGGGGATACTACTCTATGAGTTTAGACTGAGGAGCATAAGCTGAGAGTTGTTTTTGGTGGCTGTATAGGTTGTTCATAACGAAAAGTTGTTCATAACGTGGTGGGGGGCATACACAGGACGTCGATTACTTGTTTTTTCAAGCCAGCAGTTGTTGCATGACATTCAGGGATGGCCAGCGGCGCGCGCAGCCTCTTGCAAGCTCCGCGTGCTGTCCTGCAGAAGACCTCCGCGCCCCCGCCAGCTCCTCCTGCCACTTAGCATTGCAGGCAGAATCCTTGCTCATGTTGCTGTCTTGCTTCTGGTCCCACTTCGGCATACTTCCGCAGCTGGCTTTCCGGCAAATTTGAGGTTCCTCCATGTGGCCAGATGATCCCAGTTTACGCGAAGGCCTGTGCCGCAGACTCAGATGCATCTTCAGTCTGACCGAAAGGTCGTTCCATGCTCTGCTAGTTCGGCACATTTTTGTGCAACCATAGCGCGCCGTGAAACAGTTTTCCACATCTAGGCATGCTGTGTGATCAGGCTCCAAGCCTGCTGGAACCCAAAGCTTCCCCCGAGCCCTTGTTATTGTCATTACCGCTATTATTACGATTGTAGTAATGATAATCACAGTAGTTGCTACTCTTTTTCCTATGCGCTTTCCTGCAGAAGGCTTCCATGCCTCCGCCAATCTCCGAGCCGGCGCCGGGAGTCCATCGCTGCTTGGAGTGAGATACAAAAATCGAACCTTCGTTATCCTTATGTGGGTTATTCTCAAAACTGTGGGCCTCTTTTGGCTATAGATTATATTATAGCACCTAATGTTTCGGGGTACCAAAATGCAACCCTAATTCTGGGAACTACCCATGTACACCTGATTTCGTTGCACATGTGTGGAGGGGGCCAGCCAAGCGCCAGGGGCCAGGAACTGCAAGGCATTTATGGGCCTTATCCTTATACACCGTACTCGACCCTACTGCTTGAACCCTGCAGGACAACGCTCAAGTCAAAGAAAGCCTTTCAGGGGTTTAGGGTTTAGGGGTAGCAGCTTAGAGTCTAAGCAGTGCATCATGAGCATTTGTCTGACTTTATCCCTGGAAGGTCCTTGCAGAAATTGAGAAGGAGAGAACCTTGCAAATCCCCCTGTTCTGAGACATTCCCATATGAGTGGTCCTCGAAATTATCCATCTAGTCCCCAAATAAGGACGCCAAAGCCTCGTTTTATCCCTGTATATCCCTCGGGTACAGAAGGGCCCACCTTTCGCAAACTTCCCATATGCTCTAAAGCAAAGTGGGGCATAGGGGCTTTTCTAAATTTGGCTTATTCAAGGTGCCTGAATTGGGTGTGCCAACAAAAGAGAGGCCCTTTCCTAGATTTCACCTAGTTTGGTAACATGAACCGAGCAACTCTCACGTGGCTCCACATCTTCGCAGGAGCTCTGGATGCGTTGTTGCGACCCTAAACCTTAAGCCCCTCAGAGCGATGATGCCTGAACCGTTCCGAGATAGTTTGCCATACTGTCAGTGCAGAGGTGCCCACATGGGCTGCCGTGTCAATTTAGGCGGATAATGGAAAATAACATGGAAACTAATATTTCTATATATATATATAGAGTATATTGGGGTTATAGAGGGAGAATGGAAAAGAAGATGGAAACTCATATATACATATAGTATGTTGGGGTTATATAGGGATAATGGAAAAGAAAATGGACACCACTATATAGTATATTAGGAGTCCTTTTGCGCCTAGGCCCTCCGGATGAACACGAACCGAGCGAGAGATGTGGCATTGTGCTTGCTGGCACTGGAGGATGCACACGCTAGCTGACGAAGTTCGTCGACAAGATGGAGAAACAGTACAAGTAGCCCCTGAGATTCTGCAAGTCCTTGCAAAAACTCAAGTGCTCCTGATACTGCTCTCTGCTGTTTTCGTTGCCCCCTTCCTGAACTTGCCGTGGCCACGCCATAATGCACCCGCAATGGCGCTGAGGCTTCCGGCTAAACATGTTCTGCTCCATCCTTGAGCACTCCTGGTTACTCAATGGCAACGGCCAGCGTCCGACGCTTGGCAAATTCAGCTTGAGATCAGTGTGATTCATTGTCATCGGGCTTCGAGGGACTGTGCTGAAAAGCAGCCACAGGTTCCTGACTGGCACTGCCTTGATGGAGCGACTATACTATAGTATACTATATTATTCGTTTAATATAGTATCATCTTGTATCAACGCCGCAGGCAACCTGCAGGCAAGGTGCGACCGGATTTGCTTCCCACTTCCCAGAAGATTTGATTCATTTAGGGTTTAGGGTTTTTTGTTTCCTTTGAAATATGCCATTCCACAAAGCCCCCAGCTCAACATCATTTAGATAGAGCAGGCCTCCGGTATTAAGCCCCAGGGAAGGCATACTGTACAAAAACATGCGGGAGGGACAAGCCCTCTAGCCAGACACATTGACTGCACACCTAGGCTACTGTGAAGGGTTACCGTGTGGAGAGCTCATATTTCGGGCAGACCCTCTCATGAAGAATGTGTCGAAGATGGCGCCCACTGTGGATAAAGGGCTGTTCCATGCCTTAGGCCGTGTGTTCTCCGGCGGCATCGCCACCGCCCAGAAGGTTCGAAGTCAGGGCCCGTCCTACAAGCCAGACAGCGAGGAGGACCTGCATGTGAAGAACGTGCAGCTAACCGTGCTGATGAGGGGGCGCGCCAGCGATCAGATGCAGGATGTGCCATGCGGCAACACGGTGGCACTGGTGGGTGATTGCAGACTGCGGTGAGCTTCACGTTGAGATTTGCCTGAAGGACTTGAAGGACGAGTATGCCCAGTGCGACTTCATCGTGTCCGACCCCGTGGTGTCTTACCGTGAGACTGTGAGCGAGACTTCCAGCGTGACGTGCCTGGCCAAGTCACCCAACAAGCA